TGCAATGAATGCCAGTATTTTAAATAGGCAATGCGTTCTTGCGGCTGAAAATTGCCATATCCCTATTATGCAAGGCGTCAGCATGCATAATAGCTGCCATAATACTTTTCGTACCTTGCAAAATCAAGAATTCTCATAAAATTTTAGTTTTCTTTATTACCTGAATGCCGAGAAATCGGGTTGACAAAAGATGCATATTGAACTTTGATATGCCTTTGAGCGGCGCACATGCGTAAGCAAAGGCCCATTTTTAGCTTGCAGATCTCCGCATGAATAATGGAAATTCCCAAGAAAATACTGTTTCCTGCTCAACCCCTTCATTCAAAATTTACGGTAATCATGCATGCTGGAGGTTAAGATTCACGCAATTCCGTAATCCAACACCACTGATTCATCCGAAAAGACCAAAACACGGACGCTATAAGTGCGCATATCAAAGTGCACAGCAGCAGTCATTCATATTGTTAACGATCTAACTGCGTCAATTTTAGCAAATACCATGATCGCATTGGCAAGCCTGGTGCGTCTCAGCATTGATTTTGTAAATCAGCTACAAGCTGAGCAACACGAAATAAAATAATGTATCCGCAAGCTGACCTTACCAAGGAAATTTTCAGGACAACTAGAAGAAAGATTACCGTTTTTTGCGATTGCCCTACCTAAGTGGTTTCGAGAAAGTGAAAAGGGACGTGAAGCATGGAAGAACCTTCAGAATAACAAAGAGCGGTTAGTCTGGTGTGAAATGGCAGTTATGCTAGGAACAACAGTCAGTTTTGTGGCCCAGATCATCTGTGATTCTTGAAATCTTTACGTCTATCGCTTATCTATCCGCTGCTAAAGACCTTGTCGTGGAGCACGTTTGTATTGGAGTTTATTACTATTTACAGCATTCTATTGCCTATAGCTTGTTATATAATGTACATTTTGCGTTTTAAATTACAGCCTCTCAAAGAATCTCTAATACTCAGTAGTTTTTGGGGACATAAGCAGTTAGCGGAGCTTGCTTACCAATAGTCAAGGAATTTATTTTCCTCACCGTCTACTTTAATCTTTGATTTTGCAGGCTAACTACTCCATTTGACATACATTCAACTCTAATGGACATCCTGCACTGGCCAAGCGTGGAAGAACAGAAAACTGTTGGTCAGCTGAGCAAGCGTTCGCTCTCCCTCTTTCGGCCAATACCATCGAATCGCACTTGCAAACATGTATCTTTTGGATTCCGCATAAATTTAGAAAATGTTATTTCTCTCTGAAGTCTCTTTTTTACGCCATCGGTGTGCCGTTGTACGGACAACAGTTTGTCGGAGAACGAGCCTTCATCTTACCTATTGG